CAAACAGCAAATATGGACAGGCTATGACTTAGATCATGGGGTTGAGTGGACATTATGGTGGCAGTAAGAGAACTTCATTTAAGGACAAAAAAGAATGAGCACCACTAGGGACGGAAGCACAATTTCTTTTTTTTATTTCTTTGGCTTTCTGATATTTTTTGCAGCACTTTTATGCTTGAAATACTTGTTGATGTGCTAAAAAAAAGCACATCTTTAATCTTATCTTCTCTGCCTGCCCCCATTACCACCCCCGCTCTCCACCTCTCCATTACTGAGAAACACCATATCAAAATGAAAACACCAACATTTCCTGGGTCCGTCACTGACTGACTGAATCATCACTGGTGATGAAAAGGATATACAGGCAAGATACACTGAAAGCACCTCAGTCCACCTTGATAAACCAAACCACAGCAGTTATGAAAATTAAGTATTTCCTGACTGCCTGTATGAGACTTTTTTTTTCTCACAACGAGTTTCCTGTTAAGAACATTTGATTTGCAGTGTTAATATTTTGAGTATAATAATAATAATCCATATTACTCACACTGTGTTTTTAATTGCTCCGTATCCACCGCAGAGTTTTTATTTTTTCAGATTGCAAAAGAATGAATTTGGCCGCAGCAGTATCTGTGTGCATTAAGTGCTTTGAAAGCAGGGAAGGTAAACACAGACTTATGTGCGCACACACAGACACACAGAGACACACACTGACAAACAATGGCTTGTATCTGTGAAGATCAGATTTCCATCATGTTTGTTTTCTTAGGATAAGGCGTGTGTGAACAAAGAAAATATTTTGCTTGCTCATAGCCATCTGTTGAAACCACAGGAATTTCTAAAATTGTAAATAGGTTTATTGTTTTGCTGTGCAACAAGTTTAATTAGGGCAATATTCAAACACCGGCCACTGACTGAGATGACACACAGGTATTCATTTAAAAGTTAAACGTTTGAATTGTGAATCCCACCAGGTGCTTACACCTTTATTCGCCTGCAAATGAAATAAAAATGGCCTCATTCTAAATAGCCACACAATCCTACAGAAACTCATTTGTCGGTATCGTTATAATCAACTTTACTCCAATTATTGAATGCTTAGAACAATCTAATCAGTCTATAATGGAACGCTGGCAATGACAAACAAACGTCCAACCACACAAAAACTGACTGTCCTGCACTGCAAACTATGAGAATGCGGACAGGTGAAACACAAAGCAACATGCTGACATGTGAGAATGATCCGAGGCTGTCACAAAACTGAGCATAAAAAACAAATCCTGTAACTGTGCAGAGCTAAACCTGGTGGCACAAGACTAACACTTTGCCAGTGTTACCAGCGCAACTTGCATCCCACAAAAATATGGAATAAAAGAAAACAATTGAGTGATTGTTCCTGCTTCAATACATGGCACCATGTGCATGGTCAAAACCATGCAAACATTCATTTGTTTAGGGTTAGTGGCACAGAAACAGGGCAGGGAAACAATGGCTAAATGTCTTTGTTACTGAATCACAAAAGCTGATAGCTGGTTATTTGCATTCACGAGATCACACTCAGCGCTCATTGCTAAATGGTGAAACCCACATCATTATAAAGGACATTGTTATAAAAGGCACTGGCTCTGTGTTGGAGAGCAGGAGATAGTGTAGCATTCCTTTGTCCATTAAAGGACTTTTATTGGCTTTGGCACTCTCTCTTCAGCCATGCCTATTGGCTCAAAATTATACTTATTTTTTTGCCCCCCTGAGGACTGGGTTTAAACTGGTGCTTTCAATCATAAAGAAACAACAACAAAAGAGCCTGTCAGGTTAATGCTTCCTGACAACCAAGGATGGACAAAAACAGACAAAAACAACACCCTAAACACTCGAATGACAAATGAATACCACAAAAAAAAAAAAGGTTCAGAAAAGACATGTCACCTTTCAGAGCAGAAAATCACTTTAAATTATGCATTTTATTAAAATATATATGAAACATACAGCCACCCAAACACAAAGTTATGCTATTGATTCCACTCTTAGACCCTACAATGGCTTAATAATGTTTGTAGCAAATAATCACATTGCATTCAGAAAGGCAAAATTAAGGTGTCTTTTTGTTACTTGGCTGTAAAAGGCTGATCAATTATCACACATACACACAAAGAACTGAACAGAGACTAGATAAAAGCCTCCAGTGTACTGAGAAATCAAAACTCACTTAAGATGTCAATAGTGTCACAGCGAAAAATACGCCTGCATCGGAAAACAAATCCAGATCAATACTTTACCAATCAGTTAATTTCATTAGGACATTCAATGCCATTTGCTGATGGGATAGCAAATTGCGCACAAACAGAGCAAAGGTCAGAAATGTATTGTTGAACCGAGTGACAGATTGTACCCGGAGGAGTGAGGTGTGAAGAACAGTTTGCACTCAGTGGCTGTCTCAACGATTTATAACCGCCTCTGATGAAAGAAATTAGCCATCATACTAAATTCATTAAAGTTTATCTTACAGCCCTTTGACATTTTCACACTGTTTAAAGTACCTGTCCTCTTTTGATAATGCCTATGTGTTGATCTAGTTCTGCTTGTTTTCCTCCTATCACCTGGTCCTCTCTGGATCTATTTATGTCCAGGAGGAATGCATCACAACTTAAGATTTCTTTAAGCAGCTGTGAGTGGAAATTGCTTTTTGGGGAGACGTTTATGACCCCATTCAAAGGCTGACATCTCAAACACAGGAAGGAAGGAACTGAGAAGTGCCATACAGTATCAAGAGGTCCGTTTAAAACTCCTGCTACCTTTCTGAAAAAGGAACTTGTAGCCAAAGCATAACTTTAATAATTTATGATAGATTGGATGTGATTTTTCTATAAAATAGTGCTTAAAATAAGTATCCTACCATTCATTTATTCTTTCATTATGCAACCAAAAAGCAACCAAGCATACACAAAATAAATTAAGATCTGCATGATTCTAACATTTCACTCCCTCCAACAGTTCAAACTCTTCCCCCAAGCAAAGCTCTAAAGATGTTGTAGCCCATAGAAAAAGCACTTAACCCGGCCATGATGTCACATGTGCAACAGGGGGGGCTCTCCTCCTCAAGGGTGCTCAGGATTAGGGCCTGGAAGTCTGTAAGATAATAGATCAAAAAGATACACCGGAGAGCACTTCTTGCTTTTCCCACATAACGCTCATCTTCATACATAATGGAATTTCTGTAGGCTTTTTCCCCCTGCAATTTACCTGAAGATCAGGCGACAGACTCCGGTGCTGCAATCACACACGATGTTCAAAAGGGTCACCAGTGACACCACAGATCATTGGTGTGATTATAATATCAATGTGAGCTCGAGTGCAGGTAGTGACAATGCGAGAGCATAACTTATCCCAGTCCAGAGCCGCTGAAGCATCTGAACAAGGTGCTCGTTAGGAATGGATTACATTTTTACACTACTCACTCGCTTTATGTTCCTGAAGTTGCAGGATTTATTATATACATATTATATAATTCTGAGCAGAGTTGTAAAGAGGAGATACTCGTTTATCCAGGATTTTTAGTTGCTTGATATAAAGCAGACATTCTTCATTTAGTTCAGTGGTGGAAGAATTATTTAGATATGTTAAAGTACAAACCCTCCTCCATCCTGACTGCAGGGCATAGTATTATCAGCAAAATGTAGAAAAGTACAAAAAGTTCAATTGTGCAGCAGAATTGCTTCCTCTGTCACTTATTACTGGTACATCAACATGTAAGCAGCATTTTAATGTAGAAGTTGGGTATAAGGGAGTTAATTTGAACCATTTAAATATATTTATACATTTAAAATAGTTCAAATAGTTTTTGGAAAATATACTTATTCACTTTCTTGCAGTTAGATGAGAAGATTGACACCACTCTATTACTTGTCTCACATCTGAAAAGCTACAGCCAGCAGACTGTTAGCTTAGCTTAGCAGAAAGACTGGAAACGGGAGGAAACAGCTAGCTCAGCTCAGTGCTAAATGAACAAAATCACTGAACAAGTCTACTGTTTAAAAAAAGAAGTTTAAAAATTGACATGTTGCAGTTTTACTCTTCTTGCCGCTGGACAGAAGCAGTCTAGCTTTCCCCCTGTTTCTTCTTTATGCTAAGCTAAGCTAACCAGGCTGCTGGCTCTAGCTTCATATTTAACAGACAGATTTTAGAGTGGAATCATTTTTCCTCAATGAACTTGTGACAAGAAAGCAAATAAGCCTATTTCTCTAAATGTGCCTTTAATCTAAGTGCTAGCCACAGCTGCCAGATAAATGTAGTACTCATGAAAAGTATCTCTAAATTGTACTTAAATACAGGTAATTTAGTTTATATTCCTTTGGGCTATTTGTTGCTGGTACCATTTGCCTTTTCCGGGCAGAAGACAGGCCCCCCCCCCCGAAACACAAACCAACTCTGAGGTGAAACTTCAGCGCTGCCAAAGAGCCATTCATCAAACAACTTCATCTGGGGTTCGTGGCCATGCAGAGCCAGAAAATGTCTGCATCAGTAGAGCCATTAGTGCTGAGGGACGAGGAAGAAATCAATGGTCAACTGTTCATAGGAGACTCCTATTAAGGTACAGCCTTCACTCTCTGCAAATACTAAGTGCTGCAGTCTGAGTGTAAAAATGGCCACAATAATAGATAGCCACAAGCAAAACAGGCACTTTATTGAAAAATCTATCAGCAGAGCAACTTGGCTTTTAGAAACTAAGACCTTGATATGCAGGCTAATGTTTTCTTACAAATGACATCTACTTCCTGGATTCAGAATGAGGACTTGAAAATATTTCCAACCCCCC